CACGATAAAAACATTTTTTTTTTTTTTTTCCCTCTTATAAATAAGTATAATATATAGATTTGCTCTCGATAATGAATATATATATATATGCTATGCGTAATTAGAAACCGTGAAAATCTTTTCCCTAATGAATATAATAATGATTAAATTCGCTACTCGTTTTATACGTATGCACGGGCGTAAATACGTTTTGTAACGGAATTAATCGACAACCTAAGCGTCGTTTAACGATTGTACGATTCTCTAGAGAAACGCGCGTAAAAATCATCTACCGCGATTATTCGACGGAGGGGGAGGGGGGAAGGAAGAAAATGTCCCCTCTGCATGATTCCGATCGTCAAGCCAGAATCGCGCGAGCGTTTCTTTGGCGAGCATCGACGAGCATCGAGCAAAGGAGAGAGGACTTCGCTTTGCTTTGCATAAAAAAAGAAAAAAAAAAAAGGAAAAAAAAACAACGATCGCGTAACTCTGACCTTGGACGAAAATACAACGACGAGGAAAAAACCGAACGTCGTAAAGGGGTTTTTCAACGCTTTCGTCGAGATCCATTTATCGATATCGATTTACCGTTCATTGGTGATGGAAACAAATCTCATTAAATGAGTCTGATTGATTAATTTGGGAGGAAACGCCTATTTTCATACATATTTTTATTTTTAGCATTGCATTTGTCACTAACTATACTAATTGAAAACGATGATCTGTATACATCAACGTAGGCATAGAATTCGAAGTATTCTAACGTATCGATATAATATAAAAATTTTTTTTATTTCTCATCAATATGTATAGACTAATTATGTAACAATAGTTTAATTTATATAAATTCGTAATTTCGTATTCGAGTAATTAAAATAATAATTCGTATACATTAATATTATCATCAAAATAATTAATAGTTTCGAAAATATTTAAATTCTGCATGATTAGATCCTAAAATCGTAACTTTTTAAAATGAAAATAATTTCTACGAATTATTGAATATTCTCGAAAATTATATCTCTTCTACTACTTGCGTAGCGTCAGGATTGTCAACAAAGCGTTTGAAGTGGGGATAGGCGGTCCTAGCGAAGGATCCCTCTTGTCCCCGTGCCGTCCCCCGCGAGACTCGTTTCCAGCAGTGAACAGCGGTACGTAACGATTCGTGTCGATATAATGTCGAAAAATAAACGGATATTTTGCACGGATCGCGATCGTTAGATTCGCTAGGCGTTTTCCTCGTGCTAAACTAAAAAGGCAACAAAGTGAAACACTTGTCCCGCCACGAGAATAACGATAATCGATTAATTCAACCAAAGTGAGTGAACGGGACCCAATTGGGATAGGTAAGCGGTGGCTGTTGTGGCAATGCGTGTGTGGCTGCGTGTGTGTGATAGTGTAAGCTACGGCCGGCTCCTGGTGGCATTACTGGAACGGCAATCGTCGACTGGGCTTGATGGCCGACTACATCTACGAACGGACCCGTTGTCGCGGCAGTTGGTATCGCCGCGGCCGCCGCCGCGGCCTGTGCGGCAGCCCCGTGGCTTGTGACATAGTACGGATTGTGTGCAGGTGGCCTCACGCTGTTGAGTTGTAGTTGTTGAGTTGTAGTTGGTGGTAGATGGTAGTTGTCGCAGTTGCAGTTCGTAGTCGGGTACCAAAGACACCACAAAACCAAAACCACAAAGAATTAGCCCAGAAAAAAAGGGACGTCGTCGGCAAGAGAAATTGAAATATATTCTTCTTGGGAGGGGAGGGGAGGAGAGAGGGCAGGCAGGGATATAGATATAGATCGTAGATACAGATCGGCCCCCGGTTGGAAGCGACAAGGACGATGGAATATAACGATCGATTTCCATCTATCGCGGATGAAATCAATCGATAATCGATTCGTCTCGTACGTCTCGAGAAATCGATGCGATAAATCGATAATTGCGACGATTCCTCCGAATATTCGGAGGATACTCTTGCGTGCTCTAACGCCACAGCCACTTTCCTCGTATTGCTTCATTAACGATCCTCGGGACGATAAAGCGGAACGAGACGTCCGACTCTCGAGTATCGTTTGATCTCTCGCTTTTGTTCGCCTTCTTCTTTTTTCTTTTTTTTTTTTTTTTTTTTTTTTTTTGTATTTCGCGGTGGAAATAAGTGGAGGTAAGAGGAGGAGGAGGAGCAGGAGGAGGAGGAAAAGGAGGAGGAGGAAAAGGAGGAGAAGGAGTAGGAGAGTTTAAAGGATTCCAGGATTATAGAAACGATAAGCGCTAAAGCGATAAAAGCTCTCTGAAAGCCACCGCAGTACGATGCGCACTTTTCGCCGTTCTCTTGAAACGCGAACGAAAAATTATTCCGCGAAAATGATCGCGCAAAGACTTCCGTCCATAAATTAATTTTCCTCCCAACAAGTAATACGAAACAGAAACGGAAAGTAGCGGTAGATCTTTTTGCACGTTCCAAAGGGAATTAAGCCGTTTTTAATTAAGAGCAGAGAATTAAGCGCGCGGCAAAGCCACTTGTTACATCATTGCAAACTTTGGGATGACATTCTTTTTTTTTTTTTTTTTTTGTTTTTTTGGTCGAAGACGCGGCGGACGTGACAATTAACGAGATTCTTAGGCAATTTTTACGTGGAAAATATGGGCTGTAAACAGAAGGAAAATCCAACAGAAATTTTTGTTTCTTCACGTTTCCCCCCCCCCCTCCCCCCGTGCTTCGTCGCTCGTGAAATCTTTTTTCTCGGTATTTCCCGATTTCTTTTAATTTACCGTCGTTGAATTTCAAAGAGAACGAGAGTTGCGAGGAAGCGGAGGCGCTGTACAAATCAATTTTGACGACTTTGAGCTACGGAAATGAATATAAAGG